ATATAAAAGGTCAGTTCTTACTAACCTCAGTTTCCAAAAGTCACATTATACTAGATGTAATAGGGCAGAAATTTAATTTACATTACTTTTATCAATATATTTGTGTTCTATTGATTTGTATTAGTATTTATATTCAAATTGAGTCCAGTAATTTAAATATTTGTTTTAATATTAAAGTAGATAATATAATTCAGACATTCTCAAAAAACTATTATGTTATCAATACTTCCGATTTTCTCACAAACGAATAGGATATAATATTGTTGCAGTATATTCAGGGGAGGTAATTAGCACGGTTTTTATAACGCAGTTTGATAAAAAAAAAAAAAAAACACCGGGACAAACGGTGAGTGATCTATCTAGATCCAGCACGTAATTTCAACCCAAGTTAAATCTTCTTACACAACAGATATTTCTTAACGGCATGCCTCCATCATAACTGTAGTTTGGAACGGTCGAGGTTGCAAAACTTCTCCGGTTTGCAAAAACAAAAAAAACAAAAACAAAATGAAAAATCCTCTTCAATGTTAGAGTTGTCTCTCTTTATCCAGCTTGAACGATCTGAAATCGACTATAGCTTGTCATAGTGTCATCAAATAGCGATATCAGGAATTCAGACTTTCCTTGAAAATCCAAATTTTAACATTTTATGGCAACGTAAAATGAATGATTGAAGACGGTTTACGAAGCCATTTAGCAGCTTTTTCTTGACAGTGTAGACATACAAAGACTATCACTGGATGATTCCGTTATTATCGCTACAGTTACTTATTGAAATTGATAATAGGTATTACCACGGAATTATATTAGATATCTATGTCCGTGGTATTACGATGTATACGTCTATGAACAAAAAAGGATTACAATATCATTGCAGAATTCCCGCGGTAGGCCTTCTACCTCCTTTGTATGCTTTTCCCGTTTTTCCCGTTGTTGTTGTTGTTGTTGTTGTAATACATCATTCAGTTTGTAAATGTACTCTATTACGCTCTCGATAAACTGTCAACTTGGCAAAATGTTAAGAAATTCCAAAAGTGGGAATGAAATCAGAACACTGAAGTGTTTTAGCAAAACTAGAGGTGTTTGATCAATATAATTGATATATATATATCGCATCTAAAATATGTTCTGATAACTTTAATTCTGCGCCCTTTTCACACAAAATTGAAACGTTTTTTGTTTTTTTACAAGGTTACATTATTAAATGGCTTATCAAAGGCGCTTATAAACAACCTAGCATGAAGGATACCGTTTGAATAATGATTTCCTCAGACAAATGGATAAAACAGTCACCAAGTATGATAACTCATGTGTTATTGGTGATTTAAATTTCGATATGAACATACAGGCTAAATGTTAGTCATTACAGGATGCATGTGATACGTTTGACCTAAAAAACTTGGTGAAAAGTCTAACATGTTTTGTAAAAGGGAAAGCACCTTCATTGGTAGATGTAATACTTACAAACAGACCAGAAAAGTTCTTTAATGTTAAAGTAATAGACACTGGTCTTAACGACTGGCACCATCTCATTCTGAGTGTCACAAGGGGCAGGGTACATACAGCCCAGCCAAGTGACATTAAATATAGATCATTCAAAGGTCTTGATGAAACAAAATTCACGGAAGACCTAAAACATGTCCCCTTTCATGTTGCCCATGTATTTGATGATATTAGTGATGAGTATTGGGCACATGGATCACTCTACAACGCAATTCTAGATGAACATGTCACTATAAAACAAAAGCGGCAAAGATTGATAAAAGCCCCATTCATGAATTCGGAACTTCGGAAAACCATAAACCACAAGAAAAACACTGTGGAGAAACTTTAACAAACAAGTGCAAAACTGATGCAAACTGGCATCTTTTCAGAAAGCAAAGAAATAAGGTCACCAAAATCAAAAGAAAATCAATTAGGCGTTATTTCATGGAAAGATGTGAGGGGGCCGGGATCGAAGGATTTCTGGCTCTCTATCAGACCTTTCCTGACAAATAAAGGCCACATTATACAGGGAAATGTTCAGCTACAAGAAAACAATATTTTAGTAACTGATCCAAATGAAGTGTGTACTATCTTTAACAATTGTTTTGTAAACATTGCAAATGACATTGGAAGTAACCCAATGATGTAAATCAGATGCAAGCAAACCCAGAAAACTGTTAGGCTCTAGCTATGGCAAACAGATTTTTGAACAAAACCCCATTTTCTTTTGCATCGGCGACATTCGTATTTCGTGTGAGGAATAAGTAAAACTACTTAGAGTCGAAATTGACTTCCTCCTAATTTTTTCTCAACATTTAACAAATATCTTCAATAAGGCATCAAGACAGATAAATGTATTTTTAAAGGACGGAAGGCAACTTATAACTCTTTTATACTTTCAAATTTTAACTTCTGTCCCTTAGTGTGACATTTCTGTAATAAAGGTAGCACTGACAAATTTGAAAAAATAAACTAAGGGCCCTGAAATTTTAAGAAAGTCTCATACAAACATGCTATATGTGGAGAGACTAAGGAAAATAGCCATTGAAACTTTTAAGATTGTCCATGGAATATGTCCACCTTATCTAAAAAATAGTACAAACTAATAACAATGAACATTATTGTACCTACGGTAAGAACGGAACGGTTTGGACGGAACAGCTTCTCGTACCTCGCGGCAAAACTATGGCAGGATCTTCCGGCTGATGCAAGAAATGCTGTGGATGTTCCCAGTTTCAAGGCATGTATGGGAAGCTGGAACGGCCAAACCTGTAGATGTGCTATGTGTTAATTCGTTATGTCTTAATTGTATAAATTTTATGCTTTGCATGCCCGTTTCAAGTTGCTTTTTTTAGATAGGTTTAGATATGCTTTAAGTGTGTTTGCATGAACATAAACCTGCGATATTATGTTAGCTTGTGTACTGAAGTATGCTTTATATGTATTTTAAATTTTAAATTTTCAAAATTTTGTATGATATATTATCAGCCTGTGATATATTTCTAAATTTATCTGTGATTATGTTGAATATATGCCATTTTATAAGGATAACTATAATATAACAAAATCCTGCGTGACTGGGGTTCAGGTCGAGCATACCATGTTGGTAGGGGGACCCCCAACCCTTGGAGCTGACCAGGTACCAGTGTTCTACCTTTCTCAAGTTCTTCTTTTATATCTTACCTTCATCTCATAATCAAATTATAAGCAAATGTGATCAAATAATAAATGTAACATGCCACTTTTACCGCATTACATATTATGATTGATCTTATCTATTTAAAGTGGTATGGCGGAAAACTGCCCGTATTTCCCTAAGTCGGCATTTATGAAAACAGAGAAAAAAATAAGGAGTAAAACATTTCGTGTTGCCAAAATGCATACAAAAGATATAAAACCAATTGAATATGAATTTTTAAACTGCTGAGAAATTAGGTATTGCTAATATGATACTGCAAATATAGCCATATACACTATATCTATGAAAGTGATGGGGTTTCCCGGACTTAAAAAAATTCTTTCAACACTTTCCCATCCGAGAACCAACTTTTGAATAAACATTTTGTGACCGTGATGTAATATGCAAAAACAAGTCGTATTACGGAAAAGTGGTCCTCCTTTGGGAAAGTGCTCAATTAATGAAAAACAGGGGTGATCAAGTTTCTCTAAACTGCGACCGGTGTTTCTCGGGTTAAATTAGTTTGTAATTGCCAATGTCTATATGTTCTATGTAGCCGAATGTGTAACGCAGAAGGCAATGGTGTTTAAAATAGACGGTGCAGGTTTGAATCCCCCTACAGGTATTTTTTGTTTTAAATATTTAGGCATGTTATCATTTTCCTTAATAAGGCAATGGTGTTTGTTTTTTTAAATGGATGGAAGATTTTGTTTACATTTTAATAACGTACCTATTGATTTATCAGTTTTGTTAGTAATAATTTCTTTACTATTTAGTGCGACATACTTCTATCGAAGCATGTCAACAAATCCCTGTACACGTGTACAGTACAGCTACGCTTTGTAGGTAAGACACTATTTTTGATGAAATTTATGAATTGTTTTACCCTCCAACTGGCAATAGTAAGTATATCAAGTGCTTAAACACCAACAAATAATGCCGAATTACCAAATATGTGGTCTGTTTACAATAATCTATTCTTAGACACGGGATTCCGATATTGCTACCTGTATAAAAATATACCTGAGGACGCGTCATAACAGTGCACGGTGGGATGCGCGCACTAGCGTAACATAGCTTTGGGGAAATAGACATAGCAACCCGCCATATCTCTTTAAATTTGTTTTATTGGATGCCTCTTCCCTTTTTGTATCCTTTACAGCATGAATATATCTTGTTTAATTAATGGAACTAAATTTGTTTTATGTATGTTTTATGTCGATTGTAAAAGCTCACTTAACGAACTTGTGCTATCTTTGTAATCATATCGACGTTAAATAAAATGTACTTGACCTTACTTGACTTGAACAATCAACGTTTTAACTGTAACAAAAAGCGCCTTAAGAATCTATAAGGCTTGCCATTGGCGTCTGCAACTATATGAACTATTATTCATTGTGTTGGAAAAATCCTATAATTTATTGTCAAAAGCGTGCTCTCTGATTTTCATCATTTACTAATATTTATTTACAAAAAAACTTTCTATTTTGTTAAAACGTGCGATCGGGAATGATGTGCTTACATCATATGTATCAGATACTTGGGTCAACCACGGAATTAGATCTAAGTCCTTGGGTCAACCAAATACTGGCCTCTTTACACTTGGAAAACATGAAAAAATGACACCATAATACTCAAGTGTCCGTGCTAACACACAAGGTGTGATACACATGATGAATTTACAAGATTAAATTGCATAATTATCTACGAATAACGTCTGGTGGGGATCACGAAACTCTACCTGGAGTTGTCTATCCTTAAACACACAATGATCGTGAGTGTAGGGAACGATAACTCTGCGTGATTCCCGACATAACTTGACGGATCCGGTTTCTTAATTAAATCTAAAGTACGTTTTCCGGATATTTTTCTTTTCAAAACAGTAGAGATCCTGAGGCTGATTCGTGAAATCTGTGCTCATAGCACACCGAGAAGCACTGGAAAGCACTGGAAAGCACTGGAAACAGACCATGTGTGTAAATATATACTTACTTTGATGCAGTGAAAGTAAAGATGCTGTTTACTTATATGAATATTCGTAGTTGGAATGATATCATAAGGGTATCCAGTTTTGACGAATTACTTCAGGTGGGTCCATCCTTCTCAAATGTATTGCCACTGCGCAGGATTTACAGAAAAGTGGCTATCTTTCAGCTCAAATATCTCAGAACGGAAGTCGAGAACCCTTTTTTTTTTCTCTTTTCATGTATGGAATCTGCTTAAAAAATGCAAGGAAATAAGCCTATGGACCCACCTTCAACAACAAACAGGTTATGAATTTCCTCCACTTTCCAGGATTGTCTCGCATTTTTGAGATTCCTGTATATGTTGTGCTTGAATGGGTAACGGGTTGTTTCGCCCGAAATTCCGTTCGCCCTAAGGGTTGTTTCGGCCCAAATCCCGTTCGTCCTAAGGGTTGTTTCGGCCCAAATTCCGTTCGCCCTAATGGTTGTATCGCCCTAATTTTTTTTTTTTTAAGTCATAAATAACATGCTAAAAGTTAAAAAAAAACTTATCTTTCTCTTGAATCAAAATTAATTACGTGCTGGAAGATGAAGAACGAACCTGTATCATTTTCATTTCATTACCTTAATTAAGTAATGTTTTTCTTTATAAAATGCACCTGTACATGTTTTAACGTTAAAAATGTAAAATAGTAATACTTATACAACTTCTAACATGATATAAACAATTAAATATATCAAACATATTTGAAGATATAAACACATATAATGAAACTAAATTAATTTCTCTAAGTACAATACTTATAATTTATAGATAAGATATTGATCATGACATATAATGAAACTGAATTAATTTCTCTAAGTTCTTGGGTACAAATTGCGTATAAGAATTGCGTATAAGAATGAAAATAAAATAAAACTTTCTCTAGAGACGTATACGAAATGTAAATAATTCCCCCAAGTACATGTACATAAATTCATGAAATAATGTGTATTATGTGCATATGTTCTCCGCCATTGTACAAAATATTTGTAAAGTATTTATTAATATGTATATTTCTGTACGCCTATATGCAATGTGCATTTGGTAATGAATTGAATTGAAATTGAAATATTAATTTTTATTGGTTGGTACTATCAAAACTTCTCAAAATGATCTCCTCCAATTAGCAAAAAACAACACGGACGTGTGCAGAAATCAAGTAAAGAAAACATCGTCACACGGCGACGATTATGTGTACACTAGACTAAATGTGTTAACATGGAAAAATAATATTGTTGTATATACCCCGCGAAGTTATTAAAATTCAACCATTTTTGTTTCATTTCACTATTCTTATTTATTTCTAAAATTAAATTCAATATATGTTATAGTGTGTGTCGGTGAAGAAAAAAATGTATTCCGATATTTGCTTTACATTGTACTTAAAAACAACACAAACGCATTTTTTTTTATAAAACTGTTTTTAATGATATGGAAGACTAATATGACTTAACTTGTGACCTAAAACAAATAAAAATGAAATGAAAATACCAAACAATGTTTCGCCCTAAATTTTTTGTTTTAGGGCGAAACAACCTAGGGCGAACGGGATTTGGGGCGAAACAACCCGGAACCGCTTGAATGCAAACAATTTTTTTGATATTTTATTAAATTTGAATTTCAGCTTTAATATTGAACTTTTGGTTGTACCACAGGCTTACATTGTAGATATATAGGTTCCCCAACGAGTTGTAGTTGGTTATCATGTTTATCTAACTCGAGTTACTTAATCTTCTAACTGTATAAAGACACGAGGTTTACCGAGTGTCTTTTACAATTTGAAAATTAACTGAGAGTTATATAAACATGATAACTAATCATCATGAGTTGCCTGTTTCTCCCAAAACTTTCTTATTTTATCTGAAAAAACACATTTTTCCCTTAGAAAATACATCATGCATGTTTCCGATAGGGGAACAATTGCCATGGAGCATGACGTCACAATGGAAAATGAGGTCGTAAAGCAATGTTACGTGACGTCATCAATCAAAGATTGACCGATTAAATCACGTCCAGGGTGTTGCCAACTAGTGGGTGACCAAAAATGTTTAAAAACACCTAGCAGGTTTATTATAATTATCCAATGAGTCCTGAGTGAGGAAACCTACAGTGGTTGTAGGAGAAATTCCGTTCTGTAGTTGTGGCACAGAAGCTTTTCTTCACCACTTCAGCATCAGTATCAGGGAAAAACTATGTGCCCAGCATCATGAGTTTGCAGTTTAAAAAACAGTCCTATTAAAACTCTTCCCAAGTTTTTTCCTCCTGTTCCAATGATAATGTCACAAATCCGATTATGGAAATACTCATCCTCGTCTGTCAACACCTTTTCTTGGATCGGTAAAATATTTTTTTTATCAACTTGGTGTTCACAACAAATGATAGATATACGGTATTTTACCGCGAATAAGCCCTCCCCCCCCCTGAGAAAAAAGATGGGCCAAAAGTTGGGAGGGGGCTGAATTGTGAGCAACCCCCCTGTTCACAAATGTCCGCCATATTGGATATATACCAGTTTTGATCTAAAACCACACTAAATATCATGTACTTATCCACTGTAGTTGTTCATATGTTGTGAAAATAACAACTAACAGACAGAATATTTTATAACAGTCACCAAAAGTTGATTAGTTGATGGTGCTGTTGATTTTCTTAACTTATTTTCCATCATCAATTTGTCTCGATAATTCAATTTTATCAAACAACATTTTTATATTTTTTCACTGATAAGTCAATCAGCACTCTTTGAGACAAAATACCAACATTCAGAGGTGTAAACAAATTCATAGCACGACAACCAGGCTCTCTCGTGTTTGGCTAGCGCCATTACAGTAGTGATTTTTTTAAATGAAAAGTGTAATCCAAAATTTCCTCATTTTTTTTATGAATGTGAAATGCAACCGTAATATAACATGCAAAGGCAAAAGAAATGCGAGACAATATTGGAAAGTGGAGGGAACTCTCAACCTGACAAAGTCACACTGGCATGAGACTACTCTGGCCAAGTAAAGGTGCTTCTTATAATTGATTTATGAACTGAGGATTGTAGTTTAAATTTAATTTCTTGTATCTCCTTCAACTTCAAGGAATCCACACACAACACATCTACATACACCATCACACACAAATATTCCACTTGTATATATATGTGATAGTGAAAGGCTTATTGAATAAAACACTGTATTTAAAAAGTGGATAAATATATAAGGTCACTTTTGCATATTCCAGTTGAAAAGGTTCAGATGGTGCAGAAATATTCCGTGATAAATGAATGCACTTGGACTTGACTAATAGGCAGAGCTATAAATGCACAGTTCCAGTCTGAGACAGTCTTGTGACAAATAAATATATAACAATATATCAAGTATAATTTGTCCTTCTATAACATGTCCTCTAAATTTTATACTATTTTTGCATCGCCTGCGAAAAGCTGGTGACAAATAGGTATTGCTATGTCGGCGTCCGCTCAGAGGTTTTCGTGCGATAACTTGAGTTTCCTTGGGCCGATCAAACTCAAACTTCATGTAGTGCTTCCTTACCAGGAGTGCTTGCTTGGGATTGCTTTTCAGGTCCGAAGATCAAAGGTTAAAGTCACTGTTACTATAAATAGAAAATCTGTTTTCGTGCGATAACTTGAGTTTCCTTGGGCCGATCAAACTCAAACTTCATGCAGCGCTTCCTTACCAAGAGTGCTTGCTTGGGATTGCTTTTCAGGTCCGAAGGTCAAAGGTCAAGGTCACTGTTACTATAAATAGAAAATCTGTTTTCATGCGATAACTTGAGTTTCCTTGGGCCGATCAAACTCAAACTTCATGCAGTGCTTCCTTACCAAGAGTGCTTGCTTGGGATTGCTTTTCAGGTCCGAAGGTCAAAGGTCAAGGTCACTGTTACTATAAATAGATAATCTGTTTTCGTACGATAACTTGAGTTTCCTTGGGCCGATCAAACTCAAACTTCATGCAGTGCTTCCTTACCAAAAGTGCTTGCTTGGGATTGCTTTTCAGGTCCAAAGGTCAAGGTCACTGTTACTATAAATAGAAAATCTGTTTTTGTGCGATAACTTGAGTTTCCTTAGGCCGATCAAACTCAAACTTCATGCAGTGCTTCCTTACCAAGAGTGCTTGCTTGGGATTGCTTTTCAGGTCCGAAGGTCAAAGGTCAAGGTTGAGACAATGAGTATCCATAGCAAGTTCCTTAAAACTCAGAGTATTCTTCCCAGAATAACAGATTATATAACAAAATGATGCCATCCAAAAACATTATCTATGATTATTGCTTACTTTTAACATTATTTCTTGAAATGAAAAGTGTATCTATTTGAGGATTGACCTTCATTTTGACTGCGTTAGCGCTCCATAAAAAATATGTTCGTTGCCAACTGCGTTCATACTACCGTATACGCAGTCAAACTGAAGATCAATTCTTATATTTACATATTTTCGTACTATGATGGTACACTCAGAATAAAGCTAACTCCAATACATTTGCTTTTATAATGGTACAAAGCCTCCGTAACGTGCGTAAATCCAAACAAATGAACAGCCTACAGCCTGCGAGCAGCGATGGATCTCCAACGTTACCATTATGACGTCACAATGTAAATTACGTCATCAATAGGAAACAATGGTCTCCAAGGAATCTCACTGCGTATATGGTAATGTATACGCAGTCACGGTTTACATAGCTTCAATGGGAGTGAATGTAAATATTTCTTCGTAATCTCCCAGCTTCCTGCGCAGGCGACACATCCACTTCCGTGGAATTCTTGTTTAAAATGTACATGTGAAACCGTATATTATTTTATGCAGAAATGATGCAAGCTAGCAGTAGTTAGCATTTAAGTTTTAGTCTGCCACATTTAGAGCCCCTTGATATTCATGTGCCGAATTTTCCAGAGCAGCTTCGGTTCACTGCCTTTTCCTTTTCAGGTTCAGCTGGTTGGAACGGTTGAACCAGATCTATACACTCGAAAGGAGCCTTTGACAAACTAATGTTTAGTCAAATATCTTCTGTTAATGAACCTAAGATATCAGTTTCAAGTTTTAAAAAGATTTAAAAGTACAACCCTATTACAGATTAGAAGGAAGGTGTACAATATACAGCGGAATGCTGCTTTTTTTAAATTATTTTTTCGTGAAAATAAAAATGATAATAGAATCTTCCCTCACAATTGAACACGTGCTAATTGACACGAGGCTATCTCCCCCTGAGGGGTGACAGCTGATCTTTCCCGGCTTAAATGGGAGACACCTGTGAAGGGTGGGAGAAATATTTGTGGCAGATTTTAATTGTACGTAACATAATGGTCGCCTTTTAAATTTGCGCTAGAGATAATTTCCCTTTAGCTCAGTAGCAAAGTGTCTGACTAGGAAGTCGGGGATTGCAGGTTCAATCGCCTGTGGAAGCACACTATGTTCTTTCCTGTTACAAATGGTGTCCGTGGCCCTCCCTGTGGATACAGGGAGTTAGAATCTGGGTTATGGTTTTCGAGGGCGAACACATTTAAAAAGGGGGGAGTAGTGTGGCAGATTTTAATTGTACATATGATTATGATCACCTTCTAGCTTCGCGCTAGAGGGAATTTCCATTTAGCTCAGTGGTAGAGCGTCCGACTAGGAACCTAGGGATCGTGGGTTCGATCCTCGATGGAAGCACACTATTCTCTTTCCTGTTACATATTGTTTACATGAACCTTGTGAAATTCTTGACTGTTTACAAAACACTCAACTATCACCAGAGGTGACTGCGAGCTAAGCAGTAACTTGTGTCTAGAGTATAGCACCTGTATCTTGTTGGTTTTTCAGGTGAATGTTCAAACTGATGCAAGACCTTTCACGATGATCAGTCCCATACTGCACAGACCAGTGGCACCGTATGATATACAGTTATAGCTTTATTGGACAAGTGACACAATCATGATCTGGTGTTGGAGCTTGCTGTTTGGTATTTTCTTCAATATTTTGAAAGCGTCAATGTCAAGTAGGTAACCTCAGCTGTATGTCTAGGACTTTAGAATTTATCTGTCAGTAAAGAGCTTTGTATGCACTCCTGTAGTGTAGTGATGTATTCCCTCTGTATCAACAGACACCTACTGGTTGTGATGCAGAACAGACAAATGTGTAATACTTTTGTTAGCTCACCTGCCCGAATGACCTTGAACAACTTTCAAGGTGGCAGGGGTCAAATGTCTTAAAATCTTCAAACAACTTCTTCTCAATAACCAAAAGGCCCAGGGTACTGATATTGGGCCTGTATTTCAACCTAATGTCCTTGTTCAACATTCAAGGTCACAGGCGTCATATGTTTAAATCTTTTAATAGGTTCTTATGAATCAAATATGATATTCTGCCTGTAGCTGTTACTTTTAGTCCACTTTTTCGATAACAAACACTGATATTCTGCCTGTAGCTGTTGCTTTTAGTCCACTTTTACAATTACAAACACTGATGTTCTGCCTGTAGCTGTTACTTTTAGTCCACTTTTACAATTACAAACACTGATATTCTGCCTGTAGCTGTTGCTTTTAGTCCACTTTTACAATTACAAGTGTGAGATTAATACCAGGTGAGCGATGCAGGCCCATTGGGCCTCTTGTTTTGAAAATATGAAACATCCACAATTCCACACGGGTTACCAAAGCTAACTAAAACTGTCAATGATAATCTGGTCTCCAAGTGTACTAAATGTTTCTGACAACCTTTATGTCATACACATTTGTAGCTTATTTTGACCAGTTCTAGGATTTCATTAAACATGTCTGTTGTTTTAATACTGATAGTATGCATTGTATATCAGCTTACATGTAGTTGAGTTTTGATGCTTCATACATTGATCTTTCTGTATCCATTGATCTCCTGGCTTACTTCACCATTTAATCTGATTTCATTTTCCTCCTTTCATTCTCCTTTTACCCCTTTCTTAATATCTGCAACTTTCCTTGTCCCCTTGCTGGATCTCTCACTAGTCTTTCATCCCTCCGCCCCCTTTCATCTCTCTCTGATTATGTCCTGGTAATACACTATAACTGCATCTCCTTGAATTTTCTTTGATTATCTCCCTTTATATTTTTTTATTATATCCTTTTGATATATATTTTGTATGTCTCATTGATGTAGCTTTGATTACCTCCCTTTTATCTCTTTCTTATTACCTCCCTTTTATCTCTTTTTTATTACCTCCCTTTTCTCTCTTTCTTATTACCTCCCTTTAAGATCTTCTTGATCACTTTCCCTGACATATCTAACTACACCTATTTGATTATCTCCCTTAGATTCCCACAAACATGCCAACTTTCAAAAATCATAGAAAATGAAAGTGTTAAATGCAACAGGTGAAAATCTTCTATTTAAGGTGGCTCCACACATCGTCATCAGCGTCCATTTTCGTGACGTACTTCCGGAAAAAGTACAGCTCGGACTCAATTATCTTGATCGAAATGTGCATGTACACCGTGTCGTCATTTCCGTATTGCGTATCGGGCATTCAATGTCGTAGTGCAAATTATAGTAACACCTTGGCCGTTTTCGTTTAAACGGTCAAACCGATCGGACCACTGTTGTTCGTTTATTAAATAAGGTCGGACCTAGTAATCTGATGCTGCTTTCAGGCGAGCCGTGAGAAAGCCTTGCAAGGCCTGCATACACATTTGCAGGTCCGCCAGGATTTATACCCGAAATTGTTACATTTATAAACGGTCAAACCGGTTGCTCCGCATAAACGAACAGGCCCCTGGTAAACAATAGTACACGTGCGTGCCGATGATATGTCAACACCCGATATCGAGATTTTACCGGGAAATGTATAATCACACGTATTTCAGGAATAAAGCTTTCAAATTCATAGACATAAACAGACTCACGGGAAGATAGTGACATGAGACCAAACGACCTCAAGAAGGTCATATAGGAAACGCATGGAATGCGGACGTACCGACCTCACATGTGCAACACGAGTTCATAAGCTCGAGGTCGTTACGATTTTCGCTGTTGAGGGAGTTTCGCTCTGTCGATTAAATCGTGTTTACAAATGTAGTCTACTTACTCTGTGAAAATAATGTTTTGTAAAATATCAAGATACCTATAAAATGCATGTGTGAGTGCACGTGAGAACGGCATACCATGCGATAGCCTCTGGTCACATATGTACCTGACATGTAATTATAAACATACCGTGAGTTAGCGGACTGTGGAATGATGTCCAAAGTGTACATGACTGAGGGTAATTTGGTTCCATTAAAGAACAATAAATTGATAATTTTGATATCATATTTTTGATTTATTTCCATCATTTTTGTTATATGTAAACAGGGACAACTGTCATTGTGTAAATGTCACCCCTCTGCAAAAAGTTCCGATTTTTTTCAAGGAAGATAACTCTTACCCGGATCGAAGTGATTGTAAAATGTAAAATAAATTAATTATAAAGCCATTGTGTATATTTTGTTCAATTTCCCATTCTATATGTATAGATCTTTGTGTCCTGTTGGCTTTTAGCTTGTAGATAATCACTTTTATCCGTTCAAATTCAATGAAAAACACTTTGTGTAACATGTGTTACATATTTTGCGATAAATAAAATATTTGTAGGGTTAATTAGAAATGCTTCTTTTCATTTTATTATTGTTGTTATTGTTCCGAACAATGTCACACACACAAAAAAAACGGAAAATATTAAAATTGACGAAAATTCAATTTTTTGGTATTTTTTCCAAAAAAGTCCCCAAACTATCGGAGTGTTTAGATTTTCATAAAATCAACTCTACATAGTTGCATAACCATTATATGAAAGTTTCAACGAATTTTGCTGGTTAATTACGAAAGTGTGGAGCCACCTTAATGAGTCAATTTTATTTAAAAAAATGAAAGATGTAGGTAGAATCGTACTGATTTCTATATAGTATAAAGTGAGGATGAAGAAGCTCAAAGATAGGGAGACTTATTCAGTATTGTTAGGTAACCTGAACCAAAGGCTCAATTAAGTGACCTATTGTGATTGCTTTTTGTCTGTCATCATGCAATCAATGTGCCTCAAACATCATCTGTTCCATAAATGTTTTGCTTTTTAACTTATTCTGAAGAATTTGCAAATGGATTTCTTTCAGACCTATTAAGAGTTATCAATGGAGGAAAAGTATTCAAAATTGTTAAAGTAGAGTTGCTGCCTCTACCCTAAGAAAAATCTTCTTCTCTAGACTCAGATGAACTAGATTCAAATACTCTTCATGGATGGAAAAGCCTAAATGGCTTTATCTAAATTGTAAATTCCATTACCTTGGGTGACCTGTTTTCCCTTGGGGAGGGGGTAAATTAACTATATAGGTCATATTGGAAAAAGCACTTTTGGGTATAATTTGTCCATTTTCAGTAGGAAATAATTCAAACCTGGTTGGCATAATTATGATAAATGACAATTAGGTGGTATAAAAAAGTAAGATCCTGACCCACCCCTGGGACCACAGGTAAGATCCTGACCCACCCCTGGGACCAGGGGTAAGATCCTGACCCACCCCTGGGACCAGAGGTAAGATCCTGACCCACCCCTGGGACCACAGGTAAGATCCTGACCCACCCCTGGGACAAGAGCTAAGATCCTGACCCACCCCTGGGACCAGAGGGGCAGTCCCAAGGGGTGAAAATAAGCTAAAAGACACAAAAAATATTTCTTATTCCACAATAAATTATTTGAATAGAGTTAAGTCATTTTTTTCTTTTGTTGGTGACATAACGAGTGATGTATGTTTCTTTGTTTACATTATAATTTCTATTATACGTATCCATAATGTAAAATAACTGCATTACAACTCGGGGGACTGTTAATGCCCTTTGGGCCTCTTGTTAATTTTGTAGGTGTACCTAGGATGACGTTCCCTATAGCTTGCATGCATGATGCTGCTGATGTGATCAGTTTAAATAAGAAGGAGGACGTAAGGTTAACTGTTGTCCACCATACACAGAGCTGGATGATGGTGCTAAACCGCTATAGACAGAGATGTGAAGAGAAGTCATGCAACACAAGAACAAGTGTTATCTGCCAAAAAACATTTGATATGTCTCGATTATTGAAGAGGAATACAAAGCTGTACATTAAAGTGAAGCTGGAACAAAACATCCACTATTCCTGCCCATTCACATACTTGTTATATTCTGGAAATAGCATCCAACCCATTAAGGTAAATACAGGACCACACTAAATATAGTTAACCTCCCCACACCAAATATGACCAATCTCCCCACACCAAATATAATCAATCTCCCCACACCAAATATAATCAATGTCCCCACACCAAATATAATTAACCTCCCCACACCAAATATAATCAATCTCCCCACACAAAATATAATCAACCTCCCCACACCAAATATAATTAATCTCCCCACACCAAATATAATCAATCTTCCCACACCAAATATGATCAATCTCCCCACACCAAATATATTCAATCTTCCCACACAAAATTTGATCAATCTCCCCTCACCAAATATGATCAATCTCCCCACACCAAATATATTCAATCTTCCCACACAAAATTTGATCAATCTCCCCTCACCAAATATAATCAATCTCCCCACACCAAATATAATCAATCTCCCCACACCAAATATAATCAATGTCCCCACACCAAATATAATTAACCTCCCTACACCAAATATGATCAATCTCCCCACACCAAATATAATTAACCTCCCTACACCAAATATAATCAATCTCCCCACACAAAATATAATTAACCTCCCTACACCAAATATAATTAATCTCCCCACACCAAATATAATCAATCTTCCCACACCAAATATGATCAATCTCCCCACACCAAATATATTCAATCTTCCCACACAAAATTTGATCAATCTCCCCTCACCAAATATGATCAATCTCCCCACACCAAATATATTCAATCTTCCCACACAAAATTTGATCAATCTCCCCTCACCAAATATAATCAATCTCCCCACACCAAATATAATCAATCTTCCCACACCAAATATAATCAATGTCCCCACACCAAATATAATTAACCTCCCTACACCAAATATGATCAATCTCCCCACACCAAATGTAATCAATCTTTCCACACCAAATATAATCAATCTTCCCACACTAAATGTAACCAATCTCCCCACACTAAATATGATCAATCTCCCCACACCAAATATAATCAATCTCCCCACACCAAATATAGTTAACCTCCCCACACCAAATATAATCAATCTCTCCACACCAAATATAATAAATAGTATCACCAAATAAATAAATTCGATCTTGACAAAATTTTGTAAGAAACTTGAGTTTTTGATTGAATATTTGTATCTTTTATATGTTTATTCTTAGAGGTTTAATTTAATTGAAATGAATCTCTTTGATTGGATATTTAGAGATAGGAGTACATTGTAGTTAATTTACCGATGTTTTTGTAAATATTCTAAAACAGAGTTGATGTGTTTCTGGCTGATTTTATATTTTATACAGGTGATACAATGCTGGGAGCCATTCAGCAGAACTTTACATTGGCCAGATACCAATTTCACATTAGGGGTAAAGTTCAACCTCCACAAAGCAGGGATCAACCTCACTGACACAAACATTTTTCTACGGGCAGGCACCTGTCGCAACTGCTTCAAAATGGAACTCCCAATAGCGGGAAATATTTTGGAAAAAACATGGCAGGGTAAGTATTTATATGTTCTACTGGTACATGTGACATTGTAACAACTGATGTTTGTTTACCAAGCACATGACATAGGAACAATTTATTTATTCTTTATAAAACACAAGTCATAGTAGCCATTTATTTATTCTTTATAAAACACAAGTCATAGGAATTATTTATTTATTCTCCTTAAAATATGTTTATTTATATATATCTATTTATTTATCATTTATGTGAAGTTAATGCATTGTTGACATGGTGTTATTGAATCCCCCATCTCTACCCTAGGGTGAGACAAGGATATCTCACATCAGGAATATTGATATAACCCCATCTCTACCCCAGGGTTAGACAAGGATATCTCACATCAGGAATATTGATATAACCCCATCTCTATCCTAGGGTGCGACAATGATATCTCACATCAGGAATATTGATATAACCCCATCTCTACCCTAGGGTGAGACAAGGATATCTCACATCAGGAATATTGATATAACCCCATCTCTACCCTAGGGTGAGACAAGGATATCTCACATCAGGAATATTGATATAACCCCATCTCTACCCTAGGGTGAGACAAGGATATCTCACATCAGGAATATTGATATAACCCCATCTCTACCCTAGGGTGAGACAAGGATATCTCACATCAGGAATATTGATATAACCCCATCTCTACCCTAGGGTGAGACAAGGATATCTCACATCAGGAATATTGATATAACCCCATCTCTACCCTAGGGTGAGACAAGGATATCTCACATCAGGAATATTGATATAACCCCATCTCTACCCTAGGGTGAGACAAGGATATCTCACATCAGGAATATTGATATAACCCCATCTCTACCCTAGGGTGAGACAAGGATATCTCACATCAGGAATATTGATATAACCCCATCTCTACCCTAGGGTGAGACAAGGATATCTCACATCAGGAATATTGATATAACCCCATCTCTACCCTAGGGTGAGACAAGGATATCTCACATCAGGAATATTGATATAACCCCATCTCTACCCTAGGGTGAGACAAGGATATCTCACATCAGGAATATTGATATAACCCCATCTCTACCCTAGGGTGAGACAAGGATATCTCACATCAGGAATATTGATATAACCCCATCTCTACCCTAGGGTGAGACAAGGATATCTCACATCAGGAATATTGATATAACCCCATCTCTACCCTAGGGTGAGACAAGGATATCTCACATCAGGAATATTGATATAACCCCATCTCTACCCTAGGGTGAGACAAGGATATCTCACATCAGGAATATTGATATAACCCCATCTCTACCCTAGGGTGAGACAAGGATATCTCACATCAGGAATATTGATATAACCCCATCTCTACCCTAGGGTGAGACAAGGATATCTCACATCAGGAATATTGATATAACCCCATCTCTACCCTAGGGTGAGACAAGGATATCTCACATCAGGAATATTGATATAACCCCATCTCTACCCTAGGGTGAGACAAGGATATCTCACATCAGGAATATTGATATAACCCCATCTCTACCCTAGGGTGAGACAAGGATATCTCACATCAGGAATATTGATATAACCCCATCTCTACCCTAGGGTGAGACAAGGATATCTCACATCAGGAATATTGATATAACCCCATCTCTACCCTAGGGTGAGACAAGGATATCTCACATCAGGAATATTGATATAACCCCATCTCTACCCTAGGGTGAGACAAGGATATCTCACATCAGGAATATTGATATAACCCCATCTCTACCCTAGGGTGAGACAAGGATATCTCACATCAGGAATATTGATATAACCCCATCTCTACCCTAGGGTGAGACAAGGATATCTCACATCAGGAATATTGATATAACCCCATCTCTACCCTAGGGTGAGACAAGGATATCTCACATCAGGAATATTGATATAACCCCATCTCTACCCTAGGGTGAGACAAGGATATCTCACATCAGGAATATTGATATAACCCCATCTCTACCCTAGGGTGAGACAAGGATATCTCACATCAGGAATATTGATATAACCCCATCTCTACCCTAGGGTGAGACAAGGATATCTCACATCAGGAATATTGATATAACCCCATCTCTACCCTAGGGTGAGACAAGGATATCTCACATCAGGAATATTGATATAACCCCATCTCTACCCTAGGGTGAGACAAGGATATCTCACATCAGGAATATTGATATAACCCCATCTCTACCCTAGGGTGAGACAAGGATATCTCACATCAGGAATATTGATATAACCCCATCTCTACCCTAGGGTGAGACAAGGATATCTCACATCAGGAATATTGATATAACCCCATCTCTACCCTAGGGTGAGACAAGGATATCTCACATCAGGAATATTGATATAACCCCATCTCTACCCTAGGGTGAGACAAGGATATCTCACATCAGGAATATTGATATAACCCCATCTCTACCCTAGGGTGAGACAAGGATATCTCACATCAGGAATATTGATATAACCCCATCTCTACCCTAGGGTGAGACAAGGATATCTCACATCAGGAATATTGATATAACCCCATCTCTACCCTAGGGTGAGACAAGGATATCTCACATCAGGAATATTGATATAACCCCATCTCTACCCTAGGGTGAGACAAGGATATCTCACATCAGGAATATTGATATAACCCCATCTCTACCCTAGGGTGAGACAAGGATATCTCACATCAGGAATATTGATATAACCCCATCTCTACCCTAGGGTGAGACAAGGATATCTCACATCAGGAATATTGATATAACCCCATCTCTACCCTAGGGTGAGACAAGGATATCTCACATCAGGAATATTGATATAACCCCATCTCTACCCTAGGGTGAGACAAGGATATCTCACATCAGGAATATTGATATAACCCCATCTCTACCCTAGGGTGAGACAAGGATATCTCACATCAGGAATATTGATATAACCCCATCTCTACCCTAGGGTGAGACAAGGATATCTCACATCAGGAATATTGATATAACCCCATCTCTACCCTAGGGTGAGACAAGGATATCTCACATCAGGAATATTGATATAACCCCATCTCTACCCTAGGGTGAGACAATGATATCTCACATCAGGAATATTGATATAACCCCATCTCTACCCTAGGGTGAGACAATGATATCTCACATCAGGAATATTGATATAACCCCATCTCTACCCTAGGGTGAGACAAGGATATCTCACATCAGGAATATTGATATAACCCCATCTCTACCCTAAGGTGAGAAAAGGATATCTCACATCAGGAATATTGAATAACCCCATCTCTACCCTATGGTGAGACAAGGATATCTCACATCTGGAATATTGAATCCCCCTATCGCTACCCTAGTGTGAGACAATGATATCTCACATCAGGAATAATGATATAGCCCCATCTCTACCCTAGGGTTAGACAAAGATATCTCACATCAGGAATATTAAATCCCCCCATCTCTACCCTAGGGTGAGACAACGATATCTCACATCCGGAATATTGAATCCCCACATCTCTACCCTAGGGTGCGACAATGATATCTCACATCTGGAATATTGATATAACCTCATCTCTTTCCTAGGGTGAGACAATGATATCTCACATCAGGAATATTGACATAACCCCATATCTACCCTTGGGTGAGACAAGGATATCTCACATCAGGAATATTGAATAACCCCATCTCTGCCCAAGGGTGAAACAAGGAGATCTCACATCAGGAATATTTACATAACCCCATATCTACACTTGGGTGAGACAAGGATATCTCCCATCAGGAATATTGAATCACCCCATCTCTACCCCAGGGTGAAACAAGGATATCTCACGTCTGGAATATTGAATCCCCCAATCGCTACCCTTGGGTAAGACAATGATATCTCACAACAGGAATATTGATATAACTCCATCTCTACCCAAGGGTTAGACAAAGATATCTCACATCAGGAATTTTGATATAACTCCATCTCTATCCTAGGATGAGACAAGGATATCTCACATTAGGAATATTGATATAACCCAATCTCTATCCTAGGATGAGACAAGGATATCTCACATCTGGAATATTGAATCCCCGCATCTCTACCCTAGGGTGAGACAATGATATCTCACATCAGGAATATTGATATAACCCCATCTCTACCCAAGGGTGAGACAATGATATCTCACATCAGGAATATTGATATAACTCCATCTCTATCCTAGGATGAGACAATGATATCTCACATCAGGAATATTGATACAACCCCGTCTCTACCCTAGGGTGAGACAAGGATATCTCACATCAGGAATATTGAATCCCCTCATCTCTACCCTAGGGTGAGCCAAGGATATCTCACATCAGGAATATTGAATCCCCCCATCTCTACCCTAGGGTGAGACAAGTATATCAAGACAAGTATATCTCACAAGTAATGTTGCTTCTTTTGAAGGGAAATCTTATGTGTCATTGAAATTATATTGAACTAATAAGCGATATTTACTTTGACATTACAGTAAATCTGCCTATAGAATGTGCCACGAGGGCGTGTCTGGAGTACAAACCTTTTTTCTACACCATCCAAGCCTTCAGCGGCTTGTATATCAATGAACCATCCCAGGCCCCATGTTACGTGACGTTTGATATCATGGACGACTCCAGTCGAGGAGCGAGGGTGACAACGTGTCTACGGTTGTCTCCAAAGAAATATGGTGTTCTTCCCTATGATAATAAATTATTACTTGTTCTTAAACTTGATGCTGTGACTTACATGGTAAGTGTTCATTGTTGATGTGATGTGATAAAGTGTCTATGATAAAGTGTTACATGGCCAAAGTGTATTAATGTGTCAAAAAATTACCTCTCTAATTAAATAATAAGCCACATTAGTTTGTTGAAGGAAGGCAGCAGAGTTTTTATTCCAGTATGCATAAATTGCCATTTTAATATTAAAATGGTATTTAATCAAATAAACCCAAACATATTTCTGTCGTAACACAATACAAATCAAACAAATATATGTCTTGGTTTCTTCCATATTTTGATCGATTGCAATGGCAAACTTAACTAAATTAGAAGTTATTTTCAGATCAAATTCATTCATTTTTATACACCTGTCAAAAGACCGGGCATATTATGTTATCACCTGAGCTGATGAGCGGAAGGACACTTGGGCGTGCACAGAGTCCATTCAATATCTTCAGTAATATTCTGAGTTATGACCCTTTGATAACCACCATTACCCAACCATAATTTACAGAGTTATGGCCTTTTATTCAACTGCAGAAACAGTGTCAACTCTTTATTTAGAGTAATTTTAAAAGGTTTAGAAAATTTATATATTTATTAATTTCAATCCAAAGGCCATATTATAGGACTGTTTACAGGTTGAACAGTTGAATACAATTTTATTTTTTCTTCTAAACATCTTCTTCAGGTTGGTAAGTATGGACTGTGAAATGATTCATGTAGCACAACCAGTGAGTGTTTCTATTTGATATTTCGATGACTAGAACGGTATGTACTCTGTCACCTTCATCAGACAAATGACCATTGAAGCATATGTACAAAAAGATGTAAAATATGTACGTGTTGTCCATACAAATAGATGTCTATTTGGCTACACTATAAACGTATGTACAATTAGTTGTAATATATATATGTATATATATGTCCTGAACCGACTCGCTGGTGGTGGTTTAATAAAGCACTCAGAAATTGAATTTCAGTACAGATTGGTACACTGTGGTATTAGTTGTGGAGCTTAGCACAGATAAATATCTTGTGGTTTGATATATCAATCCCACATCAACATTAATAAAAAAGAAAACGCTACCTATTTAAACATCTCGATTCACTCAAGTTTTTTCCTATTTCCTATTACTGTTGTGAAATCTCACGACATTAGACAATGTGTTGTGTGCCAAACATGTGCACACTTTAAAGAACTGTGCGATAATAGTGTTTGCACAACTATGCAATAACTATCATTGCGGATGCATACACAATAGCAATTAAAAGGATATACCCGGTATGCAAAAGTTGTATAAAGAATGATTCTGTTACAGGAGTTTACTACTGGTGGTTTAGATGATTGGCTCT